CCTATAGTTTTGACAAATTACTTCTATCCCCTTTTTTGAAAATGGGCGTTATGTTGGCATGCTTCCAATCAGAAGGTACCAGAAGCACAATGAGGTTTTTAGAGCAAAATGGGAAACTTTTTCCTCTTCCAGGACAACCAGAGACAGTGACGATGAGGATGAAGATGATCGCAAGCTGAGCCGAGGCTGCACTCTCCAATACCAGCACACCCAGGTCAGGGTGCTGACCCAGTTCCACACCACGTCGACCGAGGGCACTGACCAGGTTATCACCATGCTTGGTCCAGACTGGCAGGTGGATGTTACCGACCTGGTGCAGGACTCACTAAAAGTGACCGACCCTAGAGTGGCTGAACTTGTGGACCGCACCATCCTTGCAGGCCTCGAAGTTGGAAGTACTACACTTAAGGTAAGCTGCCAAAGCCGGACCTGGTATTTAATGTGGTTAAACGTAGTATTTAGTACTATAGGCAGCTCTCTCCTTGCGTAAAACTGACTTGCATAAATCCAGACTTACAAATGTAATATTTGAGGTACACAGAGTTTACAGAAATGCTAACGTGACATCATTAAGTAAACTGAGACTTCATCTTTTCATTTACTTTTGTTCTTTAGTATGTAATACTAGTATAATTTTGGCTTCTGTGGTTTTTGGTCTGTTATGTGTCTTGAATGGTATGGCAAGGTAAATCCAACTTAAATAAGTTTTGACTTACATAAGGATTTGTGAAATGGACTACTTACATAAGTTTAGAAATCCCTGTATATACCCCCAAAGGATTTACCAAAATGACACTTCCATTAAATACTAATTTAATATTGTCAGTGTCTCTGTTGACATAAATTAAGCTGACATGCCCTGCCCTACATTAACTTCGCTGAAAGAATTGAACTTGTTCTTTGATTAGTGACACAATAAGCCCTTTAAAGTGTGAGCAAGTATTTTTATTGGAAAATCTTTTATTTTATAGGTTCAGTAATAATAAACGAGCCCTGAGATTTATTTCCTATTGAGTTCCTAAAGTTAGTTCAGAAGAGACTTGATGAACCACAGATGTTCAGTTCAACATTCATTATTATACTTACCCATGCTTACTTACTGTAACTGCTTATGGTTATTCTATGAGCCAGTCGATCACAGGGCACAGGGCAGGGGATACCCTGGATGGGATGCCAGTCCATCACAGGACACAGGGCTCTTACACACACACACACACCCACACACACACACTATGACGCCAGAGAGAGCCCAGATATTTATTTTAAATTTCTGTTGTTTTTGTTACATTTATTTGTAAGCACTATGGATTTAGTGGTGTACTGTCTAATGCTACATCCATCTATTTTCATGTCAGCAGCTGCTTTAATTCAAACTAAAAACAGATATAAAGGAATCAATGGGCAGTGAATTGGAACATTAGTAAATATGAAGTAAATAATATGTGTACCGGAGTGTAACTGCTGTTCGTTAAGGCAGCCGGGGCAGAAGTCAGTGAAAACACTAAAGCTTCCACGCTTGCTGCAGCACCAGCAGTCAGTGGTGAGGTTTTTGTGCGGTGAAAAGGCCTTCATCCGGGCCTGGCTGTGTGCTTCAGGTCCGCATGGCTTAGCAAAACAGACAAGCAAGACAAGTACATAACAGATGAGGTACAAACTAAAGAGCAAAAGCACCAGTTTTGTTGAAGTACTTCACATTAAAAGTGAATGAAAATGCTGCTGTCTGTCAGAATTGCAAAGCATAACTTAAATATCACCACAGCACGAATGTAATGCAAATACATCTTAAAGAACACATTCAGGGTTTGACGGACTCACCCAGTAATGCAAGGTTAGCCATAGATACCTGACATTTAGCCTCTCAGAGTTGCCTGCTCTGTCTTTGTCATCACTTTGATCATTTTGATTAATTTACTTACTACGATTACACTATGTCAAAATAATCACTGCTACAATGAAAGTTAGCCCCATTGTTTAGCTGCATAATCTTACATAACCATATCATTTTTTTAGTGAACATATTACATGTTTGCAACGACATTGAAAAAAGATTTTGCTGTACTTAGAAGGTGAAAATTAACTGTACATCCAAAAATAACTTATCTACAAACAGAGTTGAATAGCTGCGCTGTGAGCTGGGCTGGTGATCCACTTGCTATTGCTCAATATCGTCTCTGTCGAATAGAAAGTATTTCCATACAGCAGAACACGAATGTCTTTTCATGACCAGTTCTTGTTCGCTTTTCTTCTCTTCACTCATTTTCTCACAAATGCGCCACACGGGCTATGAGTGAGTCCGATAGCAAGGACGATAAATATTGATTGTCTACTAGAGCGCATGCAGAGCGCATGCAGAGCGCATGCAGAGCGCATGCAAAAGCAGTGGAGATAAACAAGATTTTTTTTAACATATACTAGATTATATTGAATGGGAACCATCATTAAAAGTCTAAAGCTTGCTAAGTTTTGTTTTCTATGACAGAGTAAAAGTATTTTGGCACCACATATTGATAGTTTGGACCCAGCAGACTATGACGATCCTTGTAATGTGATGATTGCATGTACATGAAATGCCATGTCAATAATAACATTGCAAATCATGTAAGCCTATTGTGGGCAGCACAATGGTGCAGTGGGTAGAGTTGTGACCGCACACCTCATCTTTGTGTGTGTGGAGTTTGCATACTTACCCTGTGTATGCGAGACTTTTTGGTGGATCCTCTGGTTTCCATCCACTGTGCAAAAACATGCTACTTAACTGAACTGAAGTGTCTGAACTGTCAGTATGTGTGAGTGAGTGATTGTGCTCCTTTCAATGGCTGGTTGCTTCCTGCCTCGCACTAATTGCAATTTCTATATTATATTATATGATATTATATCACTGCGATGGGCTGGCCCCCCGTCCTGGGTTGTTCCTTGCCTTGTGCCCATTGCTTCCGGGGATAGGCTCCGATCCCCCCGCGACCCAGTAGGGTAAATGGATTGGAAAATGGATGGATGGTTGGATATTATATTATATAAATTATCAGTCAATGTCAGATTATTTAAACACACATCCACACACACAAACAGACACACAGGTGTGTAATTATATCTTTGTGGGGACTCTCTATTCATTTCTATGGGTAAACTCTAATCCCAACATGACGACCTTAACCCCTTCCCAGCCCTAAACTTAGCCATAAGTAACCAAAATACGAGACTTTTGGCATTTTTAGTTTTTTGATTGCATTCACAGACTTCCTTCCTCCCCAATAAATCCAGATTTATCTGCTCATTTAACTGCTTTTTCTTTTGAATAAAACTCATTAATGAACATATTGCAGTTATGTTTGATTGCAGTCATTAATTTAGCAATGTTGCTGCTTTGTTTCAGGTCGAGTCTCCGCTTGTCATGGAGGCCGTCTTGGGGGAGATTCCCTTCTCTGTCACAGATGACAAAGTGTCCATTGTGGAGCTGCAAGTTCACACCATCTCAAGTCTGTCTCTGACGCTACAATCCAGCCCCGGTAACAGCCACACAATGGTAGCCAAGGCAACGGGCTTGCAGACGCTTGCTGCGCCCAAACAGGTGCTGTTCGTCATGGTTTTGGTAACAGCTCACCATAGGCTATACATATATATTCATTTTTATTTAACACACACCTTTGTCCATAACAATGTACAAGTAAGCCAAGAAGCACATTACAAACGTGCTGATATGGAGTCGACTAGGTATGCGGCTTGGCTGAGCTTCCAATGAATGCCTGGGTACAAGTGTGAGCAGTATCGGAACAGAACCTACTCATGCACCAAACCACACAAGAACCTAATATAACTACTATTCAAATCAGCGGAAAGTGCAGCATTAAGAGCATTCAGGGAGCATGAAGTGATATTGGGCTAGCAGAGATGTTTCCGGAACAGATTGGTCATGAGGGGTTCTTGAAGGTGGATGGAGAGGGAATCTGACAGGATGAGGTTCAGTAGCTCATTCCACTGTCATAGAACCACACATGAGAAACATTTGCACCCATCCATTAAATATGGTCTTAATATTCACATTTATTTATTTAGCTCATGTCCAACACTCAGTAGAGGAAAGCTTTGGGCCATAGAGCAGAATCAGCCAGAATCCAGCACCCCCTGGAGCCGTGTTAAGGGCCTGTTATTATAAATGCTGTAAAATTTTTTGATGAACTGCATGTCTTCGAGTGCCAGCATTTAAGACATGCTATTTAGAGGCCGAGAACACAAAGCTGTATTCCGGGAGGACAGAGTACAGTAATTGTGGAGATGACCTGCAGGCTCCTGGTGTCAGCTGTGGTAGATACGTGCTTAAGCAGCTCATGTCATTCGTTAAACCAGATTATAATATGCTAGGCTGACAAGCAATTAGTGTAAGATCTGCCTGTGTCTAATTTCACCTGAATAATATAGTTAGTTTTGGTCAATGACTTATTCCAGAAAAAGCCACAGAATTAAAGCAATGCAGCAATGAGCAGCCAAGAACTGGCAACATTTTTCTACCACTCAAACATGGGTTTCTTTCAGTTTCTCTCTGCTTTCACTTGCTAGTTCATTCCACTGAGGAAAGTTAAGTCTCCTGCCCCCCTCCATGCCACACAAACAAAATAACAATATTTCTATGAGGTGGAACTCTCACAATACAGGGAGGATTATTAACCTGCTTCTGTTTCTTCTGACTCAAATCCAGTGGGAAGAAGTTCTAGGCCTCCATTTTAATCCCCCCCTGAGTGTCTGTGAGAGCCCCTTAACCGAAATCTGAGATTTGCATATTAATGATCAAACTTTCCTATGGGTTTGGCTGCTTATAGCGGCAGTAAGAGCCCATTTTCATTTTAATTCCGTTAGCAGTGGTCAAACAAAACAGAAGAAAAGGCCAGCTCTGTCCCCCCCCTTCCCGCAAATTAAATCCTGATTTCCCCAGCCCTCCTACATCAAGACACCACATTTAATGGCGTTAATGTATTGTTTTAAGTGCCCTCAGAGGCCTTGCTGTAACAGCAAGAGACTCCCACCGCAGCTTAGTCGACAGAGGATTGCTCCAGCCATTTCAAACAATTATTTTTTCATTGCTCATGAAATCTCATTCATGTCTGTTTGTTTTGCTTTCTTCTTTTCATTGTTCGCTCACTGAATGGAAATGAGGTGCTCGGAGAACAGAAATCTGCACAGTTAAATGAAACCGTAAATACGTGTGTACCTGTGTATGCTGTAGAAGCTAATATTTCCCTCTGATATGCGTGGTATGGTGCCTCAGTGGGCGGGGCTATGGGGTCTTGCCTCCAGAGTTGTGGGTTCTGTTCCTGTGTCAACTCTGCATGTACATTTGTGTGTCTGGGGAATGTGCATGTTTTCATCCACTAATTATGTCCTGCACAGAATTCATGTTCTGTGTTTTTGTGTTTTGATAGGAGGCAATCCTTTCCATCTGGGTCTACTACAGTGACAACACAGCAGTGCCTCTGAATATCTTTGACTCTAAAGACTATAATCTGAATGCATCTACCCTCGATGATAAGATTGTGATGGTATCCCAAGACCCACATCTGCGATGGCCGGTCATCACAGCCGAAGGCGAGGGATCCGGAGAGGTAGTCCGTGTAGAGATGACGATCTGCGAGGCATGCCAGAAGACCAAACGCAAGAGTGTCATCGCTTCCTCTCCAGTATATGTTCGGGTTCGCTTTGGGCCAGAGGAGGACTCTGAAGAGGAGGGCGAAGGCATGGTAACTGTCCAAGGCCATGAAGAATCACCAAACACAAGGAGACCACTTATTGATTCCAGTGTTGGTGAAAGTTACGGAGCAACAAATGAGCAACCTGCCAGTGTTCCTATTGACTACACTAACTTTCCAACCATCAGCAGTCAGGAGCGGCCCACAGAAGGAGATGAGGATGAGGAGGACTTTGTCCATGCACCTCGCAGTATGACTGACCTGGAGATAGGCATGTACGCCCTCCTGGGTGTCTTCTGTCTGGCCATCTTAGTGTTCCTCATCAATTGTATCGTGTTTGTGCTAAAGTACCGCCACAAGCGCATCCCCCCTGAGGGGCAGGCCAACATGGACCACTCGCACCACTGGGTGTTTCTGGGAAACGGACAGCCCCTGCAAGCCCAGAATGACCTCTCCCCGCAGCAGGCGGAGAGTCCCAGTAACCCTCTTGACTCGGCACAGACTTGCTGTCACGGAGACCATCACAGCAGCGGCAGCTCTCAGACAAGCGTGCAGAGCCAGGTCCATGGCAGGGGAGACGGAAGTTCAGGGGGGTCCACCAAGGAGTGCGGAGAGGAGCCCAACTCCCCCACCTCAAAGCGGAAGCGGGTCAAGTTCACCACCTTCACAACCCTCCCTAACGAGGACATGCCCTATAACTCCATTCCCATTGCTGACGAGGAGGACATTCAGTGGGTCTGTCAGGACATGGGCTTCCAGGACCCTGAGGAACTGCATGACTACATGCGTAGGATAAAAGAAATAGCCTAGTAGGCGGTGTGGTCCACCACTAAGCTTTCTAGAACTTTCCTTTCTGAATTTCTCTTTTTTCACTTTAGTCGGGATACCTTTTCACGAACCAAGGCCAGTTTTGTTTTTGTTTTGTTTTTTTGACTCACACATTGCTATTTTCCATGCTCATGCTCACTTGGAACAGTCACAAAAACAAAAACATCAAGCAACTGTAAGACTTAACTCCAAACCAGAGTGCAAAATGGCTTTGTGTGGCACAATCCCCCTCAACCCAAAATGGAACAGTCTATCGACACATGGACCAGTTCCTGTTAAGGATGATAATGCCAGACTGCTACAGGTTGAACTGTTTTAGGCAGAAGGGGTTAATTCTTGTATGTGTATGTGTCTATTAATAATCAGAGTACCTCTTCCTACAAAGAGGAATTTGATGTGCAGATCAGAAATGCAGAGAATGTTGGGAAGGATGATTCATGGTGGCAAGGACAAGCTGAGCTTCAGTAAATTTTCCAAGAATCTGATGGCATTATATTCCCTCTTGTCAGTATCATTAAGTATTCATAAAAGCTAATCTTTCTGCACCCAATTCAGGTCCCTAACATTGCTTTACTTATCCCCCCTATTTTTTTTATCTTAAGCATACACAATCTGTATGCAAGTTCTGTGCAGACTTGATGAAATGATGTTAATGGTCTCAAATTGCCTTATTAAGCGGACTTTTCTGATTACGCCAGACTGTTTATCCCATTATCTATTGGGGATAATAGCTTTTGATAACAGCAGGAAACACAAGAACGTCATATCTTTCCCAACATTCTTTGCATGAAAGGAGAGCTTTTGAGGCACAATCAACATTTTTTCCCAAATTTGTAAATGTTTGTATTGTAGTAATTATCTAATCATGCATACACAGTAATAAAGCAAGTATGTTATCATGCATTACATGCATGTGTGTCAGCCCCACCCTACAAACTCCCCTGAATATGTACATACCACCCCCCAGTACAGGCTTTGCACAGAATTACACATATACATTCCATCGGGATCAGCTGGAAACTGTGTGAGAGAAGCTTGCTTGGCTGATCATGTTAATTATCGGTAGTTCAGCGGTGTATTCTGTATTGCTAGAATTTTCTGCATAATGCCCTTGTTGCAATTAAGGAACTCTTATATCATAATGCCCTTGTTGCAGTTATTATGTCAGAATGTAAAACATCTTATATTGAAAAGGAACCTTAATCCATCACTCATTCCTGGCTTCTCAAAGACCAGACATTCCCAGTTTATGTAACACCTGGTTATTCTTCACTGCTATACAGATCTTCTCCTTAGATGATGACTGCAAACCAGTTCTTGTCAGGGACATGTTCGTTTTCTTAATTTCGATGAACCGGATCTTTGCTGTTCTGTACCAAACCATTGAAGGGACTGTGAATCTGTAAAACAAAACAGGCCGCAATATTATTGACAATGGACTTCAAAATGCATCACGTAGTCACAGAAGCAGTTTTCAATGAAGGGAGAAGACAGATTTAATCATTTGAGACCTATCGAGATTCTTCATAGTAAGACATCCTCTGGCATTATTTTACCTCAGCCTGGAATGCAGTATTTAGTACCTACCCATTAATTGTTTAGTTTTATTCTACAGGCTTATATTATTTAACAGCTTTTTATACTCCAGAAATAAGGTAGAATCATTATAGACCTATAGTGTTACTTGGAGTGCTTAAGGAACAGATGATACTGACTGGAGCATAAACGACAGCAGGTAGTACAGTTCAGGTTGCATGTTTAGTAATTCAGATGCTTCTGGTGAAATCCAACAGTCGGCAGCAGATAAGTCAAAAGGGCTTCTGGGTTTTGTGTGAGAATGTTTTTGAGTGGGGTGGCATCAGTCAAGTGGGAGGGTTTCATAAATGGAAATCTAGCATCTTTCAGGCCTCAGGGTTCTAAGTGTGGCTCCCATTTTTAGGAGAATGTGGGAATCATATTCATTAACTATTCCATAGGACTGTTTCACCATGTCTATATTTTATAATTTTATGTCCCTATAGCAACATAATAATCTGCATCATTTTGTTCTGTAACTGGATTATGTTACTGCCCTTATTATGGAATTATTCAGCATCTTCAATTCAATTCATGGACAATGTAAAAGCTTTTCCTAGCCTGTCTCTCTGAAAATTGTCATTCATTTTTGAGTCTTCATGTGGACTCATTCATACAAAACATAAATTCCCTTTTACAGTAGAAATGCATTAAAACACAGGTCCTAGCTGTAACAACCTATCTGAAATGAAGGTGGAAATAATGTCTCTTGACAAAAGGTTTGTTTTGTACCCAAAGTGCACCAACTACACAATTTAAACTTATGATGCCGTCTCGGGATGAATGTACAAATCTGAGCTATAGCTTGACCCCAGGGTAAATGTGTGGTCGACTGAAATGGTTCCACATAATTATTGGGATGTCTCTACTAGCAGCTACTGTAATGGCTTTTATTTGCCATTTTATCGCTGATAACATGAGCATTTGTTTTTTATGCATTGTTTTAACATGATGTTTCTGGTCATTTTATACTTTTTTGTGTGTGTGTGTGTATATATATATATATATATATACATTTCAGTGGAACACTTTTTGTATCTCAAGGTTCTGTTAAAGATGTTCATGATGTGCTTTTTTGGTGTGTTGTGTAAGCTGCTAGTAGATGCTTTGCCTCTGCAGCTAAACACCTTGAGCTGTACCCTGTGGAGAGTAGCAGAGCGTGGTGGTGGCAGCCACGAGCTGCTGAACTGAAAGTGTTTATGTGCAGAATACTGTCAGATTTCACTGTATTCTCCTGCAGTCTCTTGTAATCCCCCCCCCCCCCCCCATCCCACCCCCGCTGTGTATCTAAGTACTAAAGAAAATGCAATACAAAAACTGTTTGCCCCCCTCATTTCACCACACCTGAAGTCACTCAGGTCCTGGCAGTGGTATAGCATTTGTTTGTCAAAAACACATTTTGCTGAATTTGAATATGATCAGGGGTTTGTTCAACTAGATGCTTACATCTGTTGTTTCTAAATGTGTGTTTTCCCCCTTTTCATTTCTCCAGCTTCTAATGCCTTAAATTGTATCATTCTGCCATAGCTGTAACCTCTCGATATTTAATTAATTTCAGTCCAGCCTCTAAACTTGTACATATTAAAGAGAATGATATAAAAAGTGGTAAGTATTAAAAACATTTCTGTGTTCCAAGATTTGATGGCTGAGTTGTACTGCATTATTATATAAATGTACATATTAAAGAAATAAATATAGGCATTGTGTATAAATATATATATAATTCCATGACAGAATAGGTGAAATATTACATTATTCATAAATTCAATTAATTTTGATATTGAAAAATTTGGTAATCAATGGACACAACACACAGGTGTATCTGGACTGATAATTACATACCCACAAAGGAAAACGTAACGCAAAACATAACCGAAATTAGTGGGAAAATCCTGATCGTCAAATGCATGCAGTATAAAAATGCTTGCTGTTTAAAATTATTTGTGCAGATGCCTCTGCTAAATAGCTAAAATAGTGCCACAGTGTTACTGTTTCCAGGCTTTGCTCTGCATAACCCATGTAGTGCAATTCCGTGGAGACGAGGTTTCAGCTACAGCTGCACAGCTTATTCTCTCTTTAAGTAGCCAGGCATGTAAACGAGGTCACCAATGAAGGGGACTGTATCATTGTGAACTTTTACTATTGTTACTGTCAACTCGGGGGTTAGTGTGTGGCTCAGACTGCTGGTTAGGCTGCTGTCCCTGGGATTCAAAATCACCAGTTTGAATCCTGCGGTCAGTAAAGTAATGTGACCAATGATGCAAATTGCCTGAGGGACTGGGTTGACCCTGCTTTCTTAATTGTATGTCACTTTGGGTAAAAGTGTCTGCTTAATAAATCTAATAAAATGGGGATCTGACCTCAGGTTAGCATATTAAAACAGATAACTGTATACTTACATAAAGGAGGGCCATTATTGAAAAACATAAAAGTGGTGCCTCTGTAGATATTGTGCATAGCAGGGTAATCTATAGACAAAAAGCAGTAAAGCTTCTTTGGAATTAGAGATGTCAGCAAAGCTAATTATTCTAAATATGTTATAGATTGTGCTGAAAGGCTGTGTGTACAGAGGCCAGTGAAATGAGCAAACAGGCCTCATCAGCAGCTGTCTGCTCCTTTCCGGATATTTTGATACATTTTATAGGCAAGTTTTTTTTATTTATTTTTTTTAAATATATATATATATCTTTTTTCCATCCATGAATACATTGCCGTGCAAACTTTATAATTCTCTAGCGTGTTGCCTGATTTTGTGGCTAGTTCAAAATTCTTGACAAAAATCAGTAACCGACATTATTTTGGGGGCACGGGCGTAGATTTGGGTATGGCTGGTAGGTACATGTCTCTACCAATACTGTGGCAGTGCCATGGGGGCATGGGGGGGGGCTCACACTCTTGTTTTGGGGAATGCCCCACTGTGAACTATTAAAAAATTGACTGCTTGGGAAAATAGAAATGGTCAGTTTCTGTTCAGAATGTTAAGGCTTTTGACACTAATTAACAATATAGCTCAACCCAGTGTGACCATGCTAAGTACACCAATAAGCAGAAATCATGAAGGGCTTTGTCTGAAAACTTGAAAAATTTATGGCAGAAAGATGATTTAAGAGCCCTTTTTGAAGGAATAATTTAGTCTTCTAGTCTAATTCTAGGCAGTACCTGTCTGTTCACTGGGTGATGCTCTTGCCTCAGGGATGAAAGATCAATTCTCAAGATTATAATGTGTGATTGTGTGTGTCCCAGGTAATGGCCTGGCATCTGGCCACAGTGTACCCTTGCCTTGTGCACTGTGCATTCTGGGTTAGTTTGTTGCAATTTGTGACAAGCTGCAACACAAAATTGTCAGGATGTCCAAAAAGCAGGTGATGAATGTGATTTTTAAAATCCTATATTCCAGTCATTTTATGTATGATATAAATTTATTGTGACACTGGGGTTTAGTGTTGTCTTTGTCTTATCTAATGTACACTTTCCCTGAAAACAAGGTAAATTTCGTAAGTGATCCTGGCAGTTTAGCAGCTGCACAGATTCCATTTCTCTTTTGTGCAGAATTGCCTTAAAAGCCACTAACAGCTCCTCTAGAAGAAGTGAAAGTCTATCAGAGTAACTCTGGAATTGGTACTAAATGCATGAATAGTCCAGCTTTAAAGGTGAATCCAGCACAGATTTGGCATTCCATTTCTGATAATTCCTTATGAATGGGAAGAAGGAATGAAGGTTCCCTTTAGTGTTCTCTGTTAATAACAGTTTTCAGATCATTTAGGTTTTGTGTGAATCTGGTGTCTCAGTTGGAACAAGATGACATTGCCTGAATTTCCTCTTCTGCATCTGTAGCACTTTCTGTTGTTAGTATTTAACAAAAAAAATATCTCCTTTTGCAGCAAAGATTTTACTAAATGGTTTTTATAAAAAAATTGATTAGGAAAATAAACTGCAAACTAATTTATAGTTCATTTACCCACTAATTATAAAATATATTTATTTGTGCCTTTGTTAAAATATTGTCAAGCTAGTATTTCTTGTTAATCACAAATGATAGCTGTGTAATTAGTTAACTAGTTAAAAATCAAATAGATATATGCTGCTCCATTAATATTTGTCACACCATATACCTTATTTAATTTTAAGTTTTCCCAGGCTAATTTTTAAAAACAAATTTAAAGGACATCTAATGGTATTAAATTAAATTCATTTTTCATACCCATAACAAAGACTTTTATTCCTTCTGGTGTTTTAGGGTGCCTGCCAAAGCTGGGATGCTGAAATCAGTGCCTACAGCCGATACACACTTAATACTAATATGATATATTTCAAAGAAATCTAATGTTCATGATATAATAGGAATATTTAAATTATTCATGCACATGAATAGTTACTACAATTAATCATTTTTACGTTTCCCTTACGTTTAACTGTTTCAGGTGATATGTATTTTTCACATTTATCTCCTATAATGTAATTTATTGTATTAAATTTCATTAGTTAATAACTAGGAACATCCATGCTCTTTTCATCTATTAATTAATCATTTGTGCTGGTAATGTTAAGTAGTATAAGTACTACACTTTTGTTACCCATCGATCAATTTTCCATAACTGCTTGTCCTGTGCAAGACACTTATGTTATATTATTATTAATTTCTTTAATAAAACAATTCTGATTAAGTATATTCATAATCATTTACATCCCATAAGATCACATTAAATGTGAGATCATTAGTGTCTCATAAAGATGTATAAGTAAAAAAGAAATGAAGGGAAAGGGCTTCCATTCAAGGGGGATTTTTCATATAAACATTAATATATAAAAAATACATTAATTCTATTTTTTCTAATAAATATTTCACAAGCATAGCAACACCTGAAGCAGCCCAAGACGGCAATTCTCTGCAATAGATTCTTCATATGAATGTTTGCATCTTTAAACGTTTATTATGACGTTAAACTTGTCTTCGAAAGTAAAATACAGGATCGTTTGCATATAGCCCTTCAAAATGGATTTATTCAGAGGTTGTAAAGAAACGTCACAAGGCAGAGGTGTCACTGTGTTGTAAAAGTGTGCGTGTAGGAATGAATGAATGCAGCTGGCAGACAGGAGAAGAACGAAGAATATTTTCCTACATCCTGTGTTATTAGGAGCCACATGGGTGCAGCTTCAACCATGTTTGTCGCCTTCTGAGAAGAGTTTAAAATCTCATTTATAAACCCGTCCCATCATGCCCTAAAGAAGGAAAAATTTGATGAGGATTTCGTCTACCATGGCATCAGCTCAAGAAAACAAAGATGTTTTGTATCAACAGCATCTCATACAGCTATCAAGAAGATTAAAAATTGGAGAGAGCTAATATCTTTGATTCAAGTGTAATTTCTGTACTCCTTAAGGATCTGGGCCAATATCAGATGCATTTACATCTTGTGAAGGAAATAGCATATGTGTCTGTCAAGGAGTCCACCAAATGCAGTTAGGCTGAGCTTCCAGTGAATGGCCAGTAACAAGAGTAAGCAGTGTAGCAATTGTATGTGTGCAGTGTAGGAATCTTCACCTTGAAATTTTAACCTTTATACTTAGTGTGTGTGTGTGTGTGTGTGTGTGTGTATATATATATATATTTATAATGCGAGCCTTCTGTCAATGCTTGAGGTAATCAAATGAGAAAAGTGTCAGTGGATCCTTTTCTTTCGGGGACGGAAGCTTATTCTTGCTGAACTCCTGGCCGTATTATCAATGCAAAGTCTTGCATTGCGGCCTTCCTTCAAACAGCATATGAAGATGGAAAAGGTGCCACATTAAAGTGAGAAAAGTTGAAGGGCTGTAATGACATCCATAATAAGCAAGTTAAGAGTTTGGAGACATTAAGTATCTAATCAAACACGGTGTTAATTATACAAATACTGCTGCTGCGCGTAAACATTTGATGAGTTGCTTGTTGAATATGAATGAATGTTAATTACAGAGACTTACTTTTGTTTTTCGCCAGTGGAACAGGAGTTGTGAGAAAGACATCTAAACATAGAAAACAGATTTAAATATGACTGAGATTAAATGTCATTGCCACTATACTGAAGGGGGTGATGATGCTGTGCTTGACATTGTTTATTTTCTTTTAAAATATGCTACCATTTATAGATTTCATATTAATTTTAAATGAAGTAAAACATATCAACAATGCAACAGCCTGGTATTCCCATACTCCTACTCAAAGACACTCCGACTGATTGTGCTTGAGGTTTGTACTGTGTTCCATCATAATATTTGTATCAAAACTCTCATATTAAAATTATGCTTCCTGTCTTCCTGTTCTTCTCTTCCTGTCCTCGTTAAGGAGGTAATCGTATTGCATCTAAGTCCTACTGCCTGTGAGAGCTGAACAACAACCTTCTAAGTGTTTTTACCATAGTCCTTTTACTATACAAGAGGCTCACAACATTATTTCTGCCTTTTTGACAGCAGAGATTCACTGAGGACTTGGAGCCCATTTAGGAGCACAGGAAAAACAGATCGAACAGGCCAAACATCTGGGCCACCTTCCAGGCATCACTGAAGCAGCACTTAAGAGTGACAGGCCCACTGACCAATCAGCACAATCCAGCTGGAGTGGGGGAAAGGGCAAAGTGAAAGGTAAAGAAAATGGTAAAACACA